AAAAAAAAAAAAAAAAAAAAAAAAAAAAAAAAAAAAAAAAATCACTCATAAAGGATAAGAGATGTCGAGAGCATGAGTTTTACTACCCGACTTTCGATCTTCTTTCTTGATCCAACTTCGTGATTCTTTGAGACCTACTTGTTGCCTATGCTTGACTCAAGATATCCTTATTTCTTCCATGTTTCTACTGAAGTAAGAAAACCGGTAAACCTTAACAATTTTTTTTTTTTTTTTTTCATAGTAGAGGTATACGAAGTGAGTCCTTACTTTCTCATCTATCACCTTGAAGTATACATCGAGCCTAAACTTGTCTCTGATACAAACCGTTATAGTCCTACTTTTCATGCCATGTGATATCATGACTCATACAATCATGACTAGCTTTAAAGAGAACTCAAGCGTTAACATAATTTTTCACTTATATTTGTGACTATGTTGAATGATAGGCGAGGTTATTTCATCTTCAATTAAGCTTTCCTTCCTTTGTAACTCTAACTTACTTGCATGTATTTTAGGCTAAGTCCTAAGAATCAATTTTGTCTCTTCGATAGGACAAGGTACTTTAATCTAATATTTGATCATCTAGATTCTAAAAAACACACAAACTTCTACATCAATTTGAAACTTTATTGAGATATGTTCAACCTTTAATTGGATCAAAATGGTTAAAATGTTCAAATGGAGCTTATGGAGTGATTTTAACACTAAATTAGACTTATTAGGGTACTATGATGGTTATCGAGGCATGAGAGCTAACTTTATATGGAACCTTTTGCACATCCATCTATTCAAGCACTATTGTAAACCCTTCTTTATTCATATTAAGCCATTTTAGCATATCGTATTTAAGTTTGATCCTCTATTACAACCTTCTACTCAAGGGAATGAGTGCAAAGTCAACATATCCATGTCACCCGACATTGTCTTCTAAGAATGTTTGATTAATCCACCACACTTAAATGGTATGAAAGTTATCTTATTTCTAATCAAATAAATTACAAGTATATGGAATGAGTAATAAGTGGAAATAACAATAAATGGAAAGATAACTATAGTAAGATATTTGCCTTATAATAAAATATCAAATATGATATATATATGGTAAACTAAAATTTATTACTAAATATTTTTAACACTCCACCGCAAGCTAAGCGTCGGATTTAAACAAACTTGAAGCTTGAATTTGAAAAATTCAAAGAGATTGAGAAACACTTTTCGTGAAGATGTCAACAACCTGGTTCAGAGGAGGCGTAGAGAAACACTTTCTTGGCCATCGAAAACTGCAGAGGGATCGTCGCTCAGCGGCGATGCTACCTTGACTTCGGCGAGAATATGTCTAACCCATGAAGAGGGATCGTCACTTACCGACGATGCTACCTTGGCTCTGTGAGAATATGTCAACCCAAAAAGTAGAAGGGGAAACCTAGAGCAAAGGATAACGACAATGTTGAAGCTGGAAGAGTCGCCACAGTGAGCGAAGAAACCAATTTTGGCTAGAAGGGCGGCGGCAACTTGGTTGGCGAAGAGGCCAATGCGGCGCTCAGATTCGAAAGGTAAATCTCTGCCGAAGTTTGATAGGTTTAGGTTAGGGTTTATGTGAAAGATGAAGGGAAGATTGGGAAGAAAATGAAAGAGATTATATTGGTCGAGGGAAAATTGATTGTGTTGGAAAAGGTGAGGTTGTATGTACAAAGTATGGTGAATGATGATTTGGAGGTCAAAAGAGTGGAGCTGAAGAGTAATCAATCGGCTCTGCATGTGGCAGCCATGATGACTGCCCTTGCGGCGTCAAAAGCCAGCAGTGGCGGTGGAGAAGAACAGTAGAAGATTTCAAAAGCCATTGAAAAGAAAGGATCTAGGTTGCTAAACTAGAATGGCTCTGATACCGTAAGAATGTTTGATTAATCCACCACACCTAAATGGTGTGAAAGTTATCTTATTTATATTCAAATAAATTACAAGGATATGAAAAGAGTAATAAGTAGAAATAACAATATATGGAAAGATAACTATGTTAAGAACGCAAATATTTATAATAGAATATCAAATATGATATGTGTGGTAAACTATAATTTATTACTAAATATCCTTACCATCTTCGAAAACTCACACTCATCCATAGCATTACACTAATGTTACATGAGGTAGTTCACTTTGGTCTTAGGCGTAGAGATGGTGGAGATCCAACACCATGCCTCAATATATAGCATTATAAGATAAACTATTTTTGATAGGTATAGATCAAAAGTGGCGAGGAGTCATATGCCAAAAAAAATTTAAAAAAAATAGCATATTTATATCATTTGCTTATAAGAACTTTAATGCTTGTTGAATCTCATGAAAAAAAAAAAAAACTCCAACTATGGCACGGGACGCCATCTTATCTCCACTAAGCTTAGTTGTGACAACATTAATGATATTATTGCTTATGTCATTATTTGTACTTTAGCTTGACAATTTTATCCACTTTTCATGGTGTGTTAGATGATGCATTTTTCTTCTTGGTCACACCTTAACACTTCTCTCTTAAACACCCTTA